AGTAAGACACCATCAAGAAGATAGCTCAAAAGCAGCGCCAGTTATGCACCTATACAATAATTTTAAAATACTCCATATTTAAAGAATTAACATATCCTTAACAATGAATGCTATCCCTAAAACAAGATGAATGACTATATCTCATTCAGATTACCACCATAAAATGTTGTTGTAGGCAGAATTCACACTTAAAAGTTAAACAATGAAAATAAACGTAACTTTTCATTAATCGTAATTTATGTGCTTCATTGCTTCTCAACTCAACTTTTTCAAAATGTATTGCTTTAGAAGGGACAAAATTTTAAAAGCGGTCATTACAATCCAGTCCAATAAAAGATTTATTGAAATGGCTAACAATATATGGAGGCCTATAGAAGAGGTAAGATATCCTGCAAAATAACCAGCAACATAAAGATTGCAGAGTAAAGTTCAATCCTCACCGGAATCCTATCTGGGTATTTATCCCTAATCCTAGCAGCCTCTGCACGTCTTTTCTCTGAAACCAGAAACAAACAACTACTACATAAACCTCAATTCACACCATTAATATCCATTCCTTATTTTTTTTTGGTATGACCATCCGGTATCCAGAAGCCCACTGGGCCACTGACTAATCCGGATTCGAGCCGTGTAGGACCCAATGGGCGGCAGAGCTCTCCCTCATGAGTTTTAACGGAGCTGCATCCAATATCCATTCCTTATTATAGATTAACAGACATATATATTCATACAGAAGCCATACATATTAATCAACCCAATATCCATCACTGACTAACGATTTTCTAACAAATAGTCCTTTAAAACAAAACAAAGATAATTGATGGTACAAACCAAGATCATGCTCTTGCTTGAAGTAACTCAGAAATAATTATAAATCTATATCTGTCTAGTATGCAAACTCAGAAATAAACATATCCTTCTCAATTAGCCACTGCTATAAACATACCCTTCTCAATTAGCCACTGCTTACAAGAATACCCTGCAGGACCAAGAGAGAAGCAACATTCAGTTAACTTGACAGCTAACAATCATCTCTATAGAGCATTTTGATCCTGCTAATGGACTGACACCGTTAACATGATTATCTCCAATGTTTTTTGAGCTGGGGATTTGGAATTAACTTGCCCCGGTGAAATTATCTGTGGAGTGGGCAGATATGATGCTTACAAGAGAAGAACAGCCCTTTATGGGTTTGACTTCTGCGGCTTTGTTAACTAAATAATTCTTTTGAGCCGAATGACTTGGCAGAATTCATGTACAGAGATTGTTTGTAAATAAGAGTGTTTTAATGCATGTTAGTATCATGTTAGGAATGGTGAAAAAGAGACATGAAACCCAATTCACACAAACCCAATTCAAAATAAAGCTCAACCAAACCCTAGAAAACCAAAGCAGCAAAATTAAGCTTCAGAATCAGCTCAAACAAACTAGCAAACCTTAAAACTGAAACCAAAAAAACAAAACCAATCACGGCAGGAAGTAGTCAAGGCGGACGAGATTCTTTGGTAAGAAATGAAACCAAGGGATTCTGACCCAAATACAAAATTAAATAGAGCTGATCTAGGAGGTAGTCATATGCAAATCAATAAAAATTTGAGGAAGGAAGAGGAATTACCTGAGGCACTGATCTATCGAGAGAGATGATGAAAAGTCTAGTAGATGCGCTTGAGTGGCCGACGACGCGAAGGTGAGAGAGCAGCGGGAGCAGCGGGAGCAGTGAGAGTGGCAGAGTCAGGGCGCCGTCGGTGAGAAGAGAGTGCAGACCAAATTCAATTCAAAATTGAAATTCGAGGGTTTTAGGGTGAAATTGAAATACACGGAATTTACTCAGGGCAATTACTCGGTTAAAATACATGTATTTCGTCTAAATTCAATTACATTTTATTTAGGTAAAAACAAACAGTGAAATTGAATTTGAGCACTCCAAATTCAAATACACACTGTCAAATTCAAGTTGCCAAACAGAGCATGAGGGACATGCATTCTATCCGTTGTTTAACTTAGTGTTTTCTAATTCTAAAAAATAAATCAATATAAGTTATGCATTTCTAAAAGAATATGACTTTTACCTTTCAAACCTTCAAAAAAATTAATGGATGCAGCTACATGCAATTCGTATATAAATCACTTATATAAAATTTTAGTTATTTATTTCTTCACTACAAATAATTGAGATTTATTAAATTTTTATTTTATTTTTTAATGATAATTATCTTTTTTATTTAAAAAATCATGATAAATTTCAACCATTCATATTTTATAATGAAAAGATGAATGTTAAGATTTTATGTAAATGATATGGATAAGAATTATATATAGGTAGATTCTAACTCTTTAAAAATATATAGATATATATTCATATAAAAGTTAAAAAATCAATTTTTTAATTATAGAAGACGTTTAATTATAGTGATGTGATTCTTATTTTGAACATAACAAGCCTTGAGTTCAATTATTGTTATTTCTTAATTTATTTTAACTTTTACTGCCAAATTTAAAGTAAAAATAAACAAGAAAAAATAAGACAAATACAATTTATTTTAGTAATTTCTTATTTTGTAATTAAGAAAACAAGCAAAAAAAAATCCAACGGTCTTTGCACTGGTCTCAGTCCGAAGCCCTTGAATTGCTGTTTGAGAGGTTTTCTTAAAAATATTTCTAAAAGTTAATTTTTATATTTTTTAATAAAATTTTAAATTTATAAAAAAAAATTAACCTTTAAAATAAATTTTTTCTAAATTTTATCCAACACACTTTTTGAGTATGAGTCGTTTTCCAGCCAGCCCTAGCCCACCATAAGCCCAAGACCAAATTGATAGGCTCGATCTCAGTCTTGACTACGTACGTCGGAATCTAAGATAAGTGGAATTTAATTTTACCCCAGTTTAAACATCAATGGTTAGCTTGGGGCATTTTAATAACTATTTTATGAGAAAAATACTTTATAGGACATTTTTTTTGTGAAGGACACTCTATATATGGTATATTTTAATTAATATATTTAAAAATTAACTATTAAATTAAAAAATTTATTTATATAGATTATATAAGTAAATTTTTAGATTGATCTAGTAACTTTAATCAATTTATTAATTATATAAAATTTAACACTTCTAAATATATGTCAATAAATAGAGGTTTTTTATCAAAGGAATATAAATTTTGCATCAATTTGAAAATTGGCCAATATTATCTTACATTAATAGAATATTTAATCTAACAATTAATT